GTTTTTCACTTTTTTACAAAAAATACTGACAAAAATTATGCACAATCTTGAAATCATGGCCATTTTTTTGCAGCTTCTTCCAGCTGATTTCAAACTGTCTCTGCAGAGACGTCGTCCTGAATCACCTCAGCAGCAGGAAGATGCTGATAAAACAGGAACTCAGCGAGCGTCTGGCAGCAGCAGCGCCACGGCGTCTATTTACAGAACGCTGAGCATCGGGTCGAGGCTCCGAGGCCTTCAGTGCTCCGTAACGCCTGTTTCAGGTTAAAACACGTCGTGGAGCAGGTCTGGGTGTGTAATGTGAGCAGACAGGTCAGAAGCTGCAGCGCGCTGACGGTGATGCCGTTTGGCAAAGTGTGACAGCGAGAGACGATCAGACGAAGACGCGAGTTGCTGTTTGTGTCGGTGGGCGTCGAGCGTCTCCTATTATTAACCCGTTTATCGGCACAAACAAGCAGCAGAACGTAAAGATTCAGAAGAATTATTAGAAAATCCACCTGCAGCCATTTGGTGATGAAGCTTTAAGCTGCCGGATGACGGAGGTTCAGTCGTTCAGTCGCTATAATGAGACCTGAAGCTTCCAGGTTCAGTAAAAAGTCTGTAGAACACTTTAAATATTAATAAAGTATGAAAGGTTTGTGATTGAAATCTCCTGTTTTAAATGTCAACATGTCTTTTTGAGCACAAACAAAATAATTCTCTTGTTGTTTAAACAACACGAGAATTGTTTAAGAGCTTCTGCTAATTTAAGACTTCTAAAGCTAAGCTAAGCTAAGCTAAGCTAATCGGCGCCATCATTTGGTGCAAATTTTCAGTCAGTTTACACAAATTTGGAGTAATTTTAAACATCTTTTGAGGAATTTTAGCAGATTTTGCACTATTTTGGACCTATTACGAGTCAAATTGGTCTCGTTTGGGGAAGTTTTATGTAATTTTGATCAATTTATGAGCAATTTCCAAAAAGTTTCCAGTAATTTTCTACAAATTTGAGACACTCTGAATAACTTTTAGACTCGACTGACTCTCTTTAGACACGTTCTAAGTCAGTTTGGACGAACGTTGAGCCCCTGTGAACCAGTTTCAGGTCTCTTTCAGGTCTACATCGTTCGTACCTGAGAGCCGCCACCACGTTCTCCACGGCCTCCTGAAGCACGGTCCTGACCGACAGGTCCGACGGTCCGACGGCCACTGACAGCAGCTGTCCAATCAGATCCAGAGGCTGCCCGTCCGTCGCCATGGTGACGGCCAGCCGGCAAACCCCGGCCCTGTCGGATCGGGACAGATCGTAGAGTCGACCGTAGCGGCGGTGCTGCTCCTGGAACAGAAACCAGACGGCAGTTCATCAGACACATAATAAAGGAAACAGGCGCCGAATAAAGCAGCCGGGAAGAAGACGGGACTCAAAAAGAGACGACGGCAGGGAAAGGAGAGAATAAAATATGTGACAGAAAATATGTATCTGTGGTGGAGGAGGTCTGGAGAATCCGCCTCCAGGACGAGTCTTCGAAAACCTAAAACCAGACTTCAATACAGACAGGAGCAGATGGAGTTAGTCAACAAGATGTGAGTCGTTTTAAACAAGTTTCAGGCAAGTTTTCAGGAATTTTTGACGTGTTACGAAGGAAAGTTGAACAAGTGTGGACCATTTCAAGTAATTTAGGACACGTTTATGATATTAAAAAAACAAAACAACTTTGTACAAGTATGAGACATTTTTGACAAGTTTTGGACAAAAGAGGTCAGTTTATTTTTTGTTATTTTAGACTAATTTAAATCATGATTGGACAAGTTTGAACCATTTGAGCTAAATTCTGATGACTTTTGTCTCATCCTGGACGTCTTCAGTCATTTCCGGTTATCATTAAACCATTATGGACATGTTTTTTGGGACCTTGGCCTATTTCTTGACATTTTTAGCAAAGTTTGAGTCATATCAGTCACATTTACATTATTTGGGACACGTTTGAGTCACATTTTAAAATAGTTCTTTTGATATTAATGAAGCCTTTTGGATATTCTTTAGGAATTCTGGAAAACTTTGTGCGAAGTTTGAGGATGATTTGGATGATTTTTGAGTCTTTCCTATTTCACAAATTTGTGCCAAGCAATTTTCTGAGCAATTTTGCCAAACTTTTCAGTAATTTTCCACAAATTTTAAGTAATTATGGAAACCTTTGATGCATTTTGGACAGTATTTGAGAAATCTGGGACACACTTTGAGGGAGTTTGGACAGAATTTCAGATATTCTAGACACACTGCGTCACTGCTGACACGTTTTGGAAAAGTTTGTCTAACATCTGAGACGCATTTAGAGTCTTCATGGACCAGTTTCCAGCCACGTTGGAGACGTCTGATGCCTTATCTGGCCTCTCCTGCCTCTTTTATCGTTTTCATCATCTCCAAGGAGACAATCTCTTCCTGCAGCAGGCGCCACATGACGGAGGAACAGCGCTGGTGGCTCTGCAGCGCTGCCTGTAATGTAGTTGTGCTTCAGACAGATGAAACTGGGGCTAAACATTATTAACTCTGGGTCAGAAATGACCAGTTTTCTGTCTCGTAGCAACGCTGGGCTCGGCCGTGGCTGCAGCGCCACGTCGCCTCTGAACACAGGTGACAGCGTGACTTCGCCTAATGAGATTCAGGAGCGTCCGGCGAGGCTCGTATTTACATCACCGCCCCACGGAGCTGAAAGGAACTAACACACGACATGTACACAAACACGACGAGTACACGCAGCAGCCATCTGCACGTCCAGCTGAAGGTGACCTCAGGACGCGCTGATCAGGCCGTGAACAGAAACCAACGGGTTCTGGAGGTTTGGAGGTTTGTGTTTTAACCAACAAAACTAAAAGGAATCCATCGANTATGTGTGTGTGTGTCTGTTGTGTATGTTGGAGGCCATTTTTCACAAAGCCAGAAAGGAAAGTGTAAAAGAAAAAAAGAGAAAGGTGATTTCCCCTGACTCGACTGCACTCTGCTGCTGCTGCTGCTGCTGCTGGGACTGTATCTGCACACCAACACACACGTGCAGCACATGCACGGCTGCAACATACAAATGATCCTGCAGAAGGCAGGAGATGCGACGCAGCGTTTTTCTTGATTGCGTCGTCGCCGCCTGACTTCCCTCCTCAGAAGGCAGAGCGGCTCTGACAGATACAAAGGACGGCCATTAGCGCCGGGCTCAGGTACGCCTGCTGCCGCCGCCGGAGGCTGCGACGCGCCGAAAACACCGGCGCCTCATTCATAGCTGCCACACACACACACACACAACGCAGACGCACAACAGACACACAACAGGGCCGCTGCATGGAGGCAGAGTCACAGGCAGGAACGCTGAGTGGCACGTTCAAGGAAAAGAGAAGCTCCATGAATACACAATGTTCACACACACACACACACATGGCTGGTGTGTGTGTGTGTGTGTGTGTGTGTGTGTGTGTGCAGAGTGAGAGCTGGAGGGGAACAGCTGTATCAGGCTGCATTAATTATAAAAAGATAATGAATCAGAGAAAAAAGGGGAAGAACGTGTGCATGTGTTCATTAGTGACGGAGTGTGTGTGTGTGTGTGTGTGTGTGTGTGTGTTCATTAGTGACAGTGTGTGTGCGCGCACGTGCACGAGGCCTCCTCCGGCGTGCACGTGGGTGCAGGTGCCATTTATCTGCAGCGTGCACCATTGAGCAGCCGTGAAAAAGCAGGAAATGAGGCAGAATGTAATGAAGGTGATTGGAGCGCCTTCATCTGACCAATCAGAGGCTCCGACGATATCCGGGCCTGACAGAGACGCTCACCCATTGGTCCGTCAGGATCCACAACCAGAGAGACGGACACTCGGACACATGTTGAGGGATTCTGGACCGTTTGCACGTTATTTTTGGACCATTTTTAAATTGATTTGGACACATTTTGGAGAATGTTTCAGGCGTTTAAGACAATTTTTGAGTATTTTTTGACACATTTATTGTTGTTTTGGACCATTTTTTACTCATCTCGGACCATTTTTGACTAATTTGGACCATTTCTAACTCATCTTGGACAATTTTTGACTCAGTCTGGACCATTTTTTACTCATCTTGGACCATTTCTGACTCATTCCGGACCATTTTTGACTCANCATCTTTGTGTAACTTTACTTCGTACTGTTTTTAGGCATTTGAGTCACTTTGGCCTATTTTTATTTTTTTGGTCATTTTGGATGAATTTGCATCATTTGAGAAATTTAAATTTATCTATTTTTTGACAAGTTTGAGCCATTTTGGACAATTTTTAAATCATTATTTACAAGTTTTGAAGCATTTCACAGATATTCTCATATTTAAAATTTTTTTTTAGACATTTTGGGAAATTTTGAATTATTCATTGGCTTGTTTTAAAATATTTGACAGATTTTATAATTATTATGATTATTTTTTAAAAATTTTGGCCAAATTTTAAATCACTATTTCGTCATTCTAAAGTGTCTGACAGATTTCCCAATGTTTTTTTAAACATTTTTTTAGGGATTTTGACATTTTTTAAAGCGTTTTGTAAATCTTAATCTCTAACTTCATACAGGTTTGACGCATTTGAGTCATTTTGGTCTTTTTATTTCTTGTCATTTTGGACGAATGTCACGCAAAGCAAGTAAGAAAATAAAGGGTTTAAATAATATAATGGATATAATATAAATGGTCAAATTCACAGGTAAGAAGGTAGAATTCTGAAATTGAAAACCAAAACTATGACAAAAAGTCAAAATGATGAAATGAACATTATAGAATTATAAAATAAAAAGCTGCAATTATGAAATATAGTTAAAAATACGAATAATTCTGAGATAAAGAGTCAAACTTATTAAATAAAAAGTCAAAAATATAATAAAAAATCTGAATTATGAGACAAAAAGTCAAATTCATGATAGAAAGTCTAAATTTTAACTAATTTAATGTTGTTTTTTTGTTTTAAACAGCTTATTTTTGTTGAATTTTTAAATAAATAAAGTGAGTTTGGTGAATTATTCCGGTTTTAAGCTCAGATGTGCTGATTTTTCGACTCAGCATTCAGTGACTGTCTGGAGGTTGAATCTTTGTGTTTTTACACTTCTGGCTGATAAACGGTGTCATTCTGGAGACTATTTTATTAAACACAGTGTGACTTGTGAAACTGGCCGTCAGGTTTTGGGTTCGGAGGCTCAGTCGTTTGGTGAGTCTCGTCCAGGGAGCTGCTGTACCTGCTGGCTGTCTCTGAGCGACTGGATGAAGCTGTGACTCAGGCTGTCCAGGTGAGCCTGGGACTGCTGCAGGTGAGTCAGAGCCTCGTCAAACGTCATCCCCGCCGGGTCGGAGGCGTCCTGCTCCGCGCCGCCGTCCCTCCTCCGGCTCTTCTCGGCCAGCTGTCGCAGGGCTTTGGTGGCTCGTTTTATCACCTCCGACCTCGTCTGGACGCTCAGCTGGAGGCGGGAAGCAGAAGAGAGACGAGGAGGAGGTTGGAAAAGTTAAAACTTTACATGAAGGTCAGTTCAGACAGGAGTCAGAAACATGCTGCTGCATCAGATTGACTTCATCACTGGAGCCAAAGAACAAGTTCTACAAAACATTTCAGTTGGATTTCAAGAATTTCATATTTTTCTATTTGGATTTTGTTTTATTTTTACCACATCATCGTAGCTGGAAGCCATTTTCAGGGTTCAATACCTCCAGAAACAAAACTCCCACAGCCATGAAGTTCACAGCAGCTTTCTTTACTAAATGAATAAATAAATAAATGTGGTTTTTAACACAGAACAGTTTCCATCAGACTGTAATGATCGAACAGGTCCAGCAGAGAGAAGAGATTCTCATTTATTGGCTCTTAAAAATGGCACAAAGTCTATCCATGGATGGGTCCATGGTTCTACTAGAATCCAGTCTCTGGTCACATTTCACCAACTGTTGAGGCTCTAACATCAGGAGAACCTGATGTGGTGAAGTTGGACCAGACAAGGTTCCACTTTTTGATTAGTTTGACTTCAAACTGATCTAACAGGACTTAAAATTTGTCCAAAATTGCTTAAATTTGTCTAAATTGACTCAAAATGACCCAAAATAAGATTAAAAACTGTCAAAAATGCCTTCAACGTGTCGACAATGATTCCAGTTTGTCACAAAATGCCAATAATGAATGATTATTCAAGCCTGAAAACAGAAGTTCTTCTTCTTGAAAGAACCTGTTTGCTGAGGTTCTCGGAGCACCATTCATGTTGACTAAAGGAACCGAGTGTGAAGGTTCTTTGAGGCGCCTTCAGGAAATCTGTAAAGAACCATTTGAAGGAATGATTGTTTAAATAAACAGTTGTTGCTGAAGTTCCACTCATGGTGTCTAAAGGAACCATTTCTTCGTGGTTCTTTGAGGCACCATTGGGGTAGAACTGTTTGACGAGATGGTTCTTTAAACAACCGTTTGAAGGAACCGCTCTTTAAAATGTCGTTTTGAGGTCATTTTACCATTTTTCGATGGTTCCTTGAGGCACCTTTGGGCGATTTTTTAAAAAACCGTTTGACAAAATGACTCTCTTGTAAAAACGGTTCCTCTGTGGCAGCAGCTGTACTCGTCAGACTGAACCAGAACCGCTCTCTGCTGGACCTGGAGCGTCACTGAGCTCCTCGACAAACGCACAGGGTTCCTCTGAAGTGTGAGAACGTGTTCCCCACAGATCCAGGTACCATCGGGTTTGAAAGGAGGCTGGAGCCGAGCAAAGAGGCGACCTGAGATCAATACTTCAGAGGCAGCCGACGCTCTGCTTCCCTTCAAAACACACCTCCAGCAGGAGGCTGGCCGAGTCCCAGTCGGATCAATCTGTGCCGGAGCGAAAGGTCAGAGGAACCGAGCAGCCAGAACCGACAAGATTCTCCCTTTGAGGGTTCAAACAGGACAGAAAAAAGGGAAGCGGAGAGTCTTCCTGAGAGGTAATCTGCATGTAAAAGGCCACAGAGGGAAAACAGAGCCTGCTGGGAATCGGAGTTTAATTGGCTCTGAAGCGGCGAATCGGAGGCATGAAAACGGAAAAAAATGGAAGTAGTGCAGCGCGACGGCGGCGGGAAGGCGGCGTGGAGAGAGAAAGAGGAGCAGTGGGTTACTATTGATAAGGTGCACCGAGGCACTTTAAGTCGACTGCAGGACAATTTTTCACAGCGCTGTAATTACGAGGCTGACGTTTCTGGTGGAATTTCATAATTTCTTTTATAAATCATGACTGGCGAGCGCTCGGAGGCAGCGGGGAGCGACGTGGACGGAATAATGCGTTTGAAATTAGGAGAGGTTCGTCCAAAAAAAAAAGAAAACCGAGCCGGAGGCGAGAGAGAGAACTGAGACAGTTTGATGTAGTGATTGAAAATCCCCACAATCCTTTTCTCTGACACAATGAGAGCCGCTGGAAGCAACCGCCTTCTGAGCCGAAATTACAAACTGTCGGCCGGCGCAGAGTAAAAATAAAGCTCCGCTCTGACAGCGCTGATTCATACCGAGAAAAAAATCAGACAAATCTGCACAAACGTCCTCCAAACCTGAACCGAACAACCAGAACCTCCTCCAGAACATCTGGTTCTGTATCTGCAGCACCTTTATCTACTGACCAGAGTTCTACCTTCACACTGTGAATGTTCCAGAGTTCCAGGTCCTTGAAGTCCACAGAGGAGGGTCCAGATTCATCACTTTAATGGACTTTTTCCATCATTTCTGAGCCTCAGAACTTCATCAGTACAGCAGATAGACACATGATGACATTTAGGAGGAAGAACACATCTGAGTTCTGGTAGAACCTGACACCAGATGGTTCTGAGGAGGTTCTGGAAGAACTTCATCAGGACAGCAGACAGACACATGACATTTAGGAGGAGGAACACATCTTCTCTCCTAATTTTGGACACATTCTGAGACATTCTGGACAGATTTTAAGTCATTTCAAACAGTATTTTTTTTTGTCATTTTAGAACATTTTAAATCATTCTGTAGAAGCTTTGTGTCATTTTGGAAATAATTTTAAGCCAATTTGAAGTTGCTGAGTCATTCTAAACAGATTTTAAGGGATTTTAAGCAGCATTTTTGTCATTTTAGTGAAAATTTTAAATCATTCTGTTCAAGCTTCACGTCATCTTGGACTTATTTTGATTAGTTTGTACAAATTTTATGTAATTGTGTCATTTTGGAAAGAATTGAGCCATTATGGAGTTTTTGATTAATTCTAAACAGATTTTAATTGATTTTAAACACCTTTTAGGATTTTCTGACTAATTTTGGATATATTTTAAATAATTTTCTATTTCAAAACTTTTTTTTTTTTTTTTTGAGTTTTACTTTAACAAACACAACAACAAACGATGTCCCAGACGGCTGTACAACCCACCACCCAGAGGAAAAGTCGAAATAAATAACACAAAAATAAGGATCACTTAAATAATTTTGTGCCATTTTGGAGATTTTGGAATTATTCCTGACAAGCACCGTGTGTATGGAACANATTTTGTGCCATTTTGGAGATTTTGGAATTATTCCTGACAAGCACCGTGTGTATGGAACACTTTTAAGTGATTTTAAACGTCTTTTAGGATTTTCTGAGTCATTGTGGATGTGTGTGGACACTTCTGAGTTATTCTGGACATATCTGAAGTGATTTTTGTCATTTTGGACAATGTTTTGAGTTAATTTGGAAAAACTTTAAGACATTCTGGACATTTGTTGTCTGTTTCAAAATGTTTAAAATCATTTAAAACATTTTCAGAGAGACTCAATTTTTTTCCCCAAAAGGACTCAAATTCGTCTCAGAACAGAAACCTGCAGCTACATGAACTTCCTCCGCTGGCTTCGCTAAATATTCTGAAGTTCCTGCAGACAAAGAACCAGCTGGTTCTTCTGGACCGACTCGTCCTACCTGCTCGGCTGCGTCCGGTGAGAAGGTGATGCTGTCCAGGAAGTGGACGGCGTCGGCAGGAAGCAGCCGGTCCAGGTATTTGGCGCAGGTGTCGTAGGCGTGCAGGAAGTCCTGCTCGCTGAGCGGCGCCCTCTTCAGCAGCTGAGGGTCGCCCTTCCAGAAGAGCTTCTGCAGCCAGACGGCGTGGACGGCGCTGGAGGTTAGCGTGGCTCCGCCGGCGCCGGGCCGAGGCAGCCGATTGGCCAGTTTGGAGACGGACAGGACGTTCTGACTGGTCAGGACCGGCTCCAGCGCGGCGAGCGGGTCGGAGGACTCGTCAGTCAGCTTCCGGTAGTTCAGACCTGCAGGGACGGAGGAGAAATGACAACATGAGGACGATAACGACGACCCAGCTGCTGATCCTCCTCTTTAGCTGTTGGACCTAAAACAGCACCGACAGGCGGCCATATTTAAATATTCAGAACTTAAATCCTCTGAGTCCCAAAACCCACCAGCAGGTTGAAGAAGTGCGTCTTTAAAACAGAAAAATCTCCCAAATGACAGCATTCATCAGCCACAAGTCAGAAAGAATCAGTTAATGTTTAAACTAAATCTCCAAAAATAAACAGTTTGCTGAAATTAGATTATGTAAAAAACGCATCGAAGAAGTCACGACTGGTTCAGACCCACAGTCCTGTGTCATGTTGCATCTCATTTTTGTCAATTTGTGCCTTTTATTGTCACGTTTTGTGTTGTTTTTGTCAGTTTGTGTTTCATTTTTGTCATTTTATGTTTAATTTTTTTGTAATTTTGTGTAATTTTGTGCCTTTTTTGTTGCGTTTTGTGTTGTTTTTGTCAATTTATGTCTCATATTTGTCATTTTATGTTTCTTTTTTTTGTAATTTTGTGTAATTTTGTGCCTTTTGTTGTCGCGTTTTGTGTTGTTTTTGTCAGTTTGTGTCTCATTTGTGTTGCTGTTGTGGTGAAACATCTTCCTACTGATGAGCAGAGCAGATTACTGTGATTACACTCAACACATTGTCGCTCTACTACTAATGTGTCTCCCTGTGACTTCCTCTTCTTCTTCCTCAGAGTGATATTTCCATTTGAACACAGTTGGTTGGACTCGTCTCAGACGGCGCCGGTTGTTTCCGGATCAGACTCCAGGATGTGTTGCAGGAGCTGTGGGAGCAGAGCAGCGCTGCACGGAGCCGTTTTACATTCACAGCGCTGATCTTGTTGTATTCAGCGTTTACTTGTTTACTCTCCACGGCGGGTTGTAGTCGTGAGAAGCGCTGCAGCGTTGCGTCGTGTTCTCTGAAGCCTCGCGTGTTCTACTTGTGTGTTTACATGCGGCGAGCATGCAGGAGGCGGTTTGATGTGCACACCGTGTTCAATATTCCATCACAGAGAAAAGCTCAGGAGACGCTAAAGAGCCGACAACAAAAGGCTTCGCGTGGAAGCGCTGCTGTCTGGTGGCGTCGCAGCCGCCAGACGCATTACTGTGGCAACAGGGCGGCAGTCTGGCCTCTAAATATTTAACGTGGAGGCTCAGCGCACGAACCAGGCGGAGAGCAGCGACATGTGCAGCGTTTAGATGGGCTGCACCAGGACGGAGCTGCAGCTTTGTCTCACTGTGGACACGTCTGAAGCTTTTGGACTCATTGTAAACAAACGTGGATCATTTTGAGCAGATTTAAAGTCGCTTTTAGGAGGTTTCTCACATTCTGGACACATTTAGAGTCACTTTGATCAAGTGTTAGTTTAGAAAAATGCTGAGAAACCTGAAAACAGTGGATCAAAAACGACTCAACGCTTCCAATATTACATAAAATTGTCCCAAATATCTCAAAATTACTTTTCTATTTTCTCATTTCGGACCAATTTTGAGTGATTTTCGACACGTTTGAGGCATTTTTACACGTTCTGACTCGCTGTAGACAAATATGGAGTCATTTTGGGCAGATTTAGTCACTTTTAGGAGGTTGATCACATTCTGGACACATTTAGAGTCACTTTGATCAAGTGTTATAAAAATGTTGATAAACCTGTAAACAGTTGATCAATATTTACTAAAATGATCAAAATTTGTCTAAAAAATTCCCTTATCTTGTCCAACATTGAGCAAAATTGTCCCCAAAAAGGGGTAAAACTTCTGCACTCTGAACTTCACGCTGTAGAAACTGAGCTGAAGTCTGACTTTAAATGTGCCCACAATGACTGGAAGTGTTTTTAAAACTCAATCAAAGTCACTGAAAATGTGTCCAAAGTGAATCCATTTGTCTAAAATGATCCACGTTTGTCTCTAAATTAATCAAACTTTGTCAAAAATGCCTCAAACTCATCCAACTTTAAGCAAAATTGTCCCACATAACGCAAAATAATTGTGTTATTTACTCATTTTTGACCAATTCTGAATCATTTTCAACAGGTTTGAGGCGTTTTATATAATTATTTAGTTATTTGTGGTAATTTTTCATCATCTTGGACAACGTTATGACAAAGTCTGACTCATTGTAGACACATATGAGTCATCTTGGGTTGTTTTGTGCAGGTTTTAGCTCCTGTTGGACAAATGTGAACCATTTTAGACAGATTTCAGATTAATTAGGACACATATGAGTCATTTAACTCAATAATAACTCACATCCAGAAGTCCATCAGATGACTGAAAATGGGTCCAAAATGACTCAACATTTATATAAACTGGCAAAAATTTGATTGGATGACGCAGAATTTGTCAAAAAGTTCTTAAATTTTGGACATTTTGAACAAACTGTTGGTTATTTTGGACACGTTTTGATGTTTTGTAGACAAACAGACTCCTTTTGAGGGACTTTCAGCAAATTTTAAGTCACTTTTCGACGTGACGGACAAAGTTTGAGTAACCTTCGACGGGTTTGAGGCGTTTTACATGAATGCGTTCATGTTGCACCAATAAATTTGAGTTATTTGGTAAATTTTGCAGAATTTTAAAGCATTGTTGACAATTTTGATCCACTGTAGTCACATGTGGAGTCATTTTCTGAAGCTTTAGAGGCTTTTGTTTCAGCAGAAAACAACCAGGCTCCAGATGTTTCGCTGTTTGTTGGTTTGTGATTCATTCGGACTAATCAAGCTGCAGGTTGAGTCTCTCTGAGGAACTCGACCGCCCGTCTGCTGATGACTTTATATCTGAGGAGCAGCTCAGACTTCGGTCCAGCAGGTTTTCTCTGGTCGCTGCGGCGCCGTGAAGTCCGACAGGACGAAGCTAACAGGCTGCCGTCAGCGTGACACACAGCGTGAACGTCTGCTGGCTTCAGCCTGAGAGAACACCGAGTTCTGAGGCGCTAATGTCACGAATCCTCGTCTGAGAGGACGAGACGCACCGACGCTGCTGCCGGCTTCCACTCAGGAGGTGAAACGAAAAGTTCTGAAGCGAGTCGAGGTCACGAAGGCACGAGGTTTAGCAGAACCAGAGTCAGGAGTCAGAGGGGACGTTGGACTGAGACCACCGGACACACTTTGGTTGATTCACTCACAGTTTGAATTTATAAAAACTAATTTTAGACTCATTTTGCATCAGTTTAGTCATTTTTAAAAAATACTTTGGACTCATGTTCAGTCATTTCCAACAGCTTTGAGTCATTCTGGGAAGTTTGTGACCAATTGGGGCGAATTTTAAGTCATTTTGGACGAATCTGGAGGGATTTTTGATTTATTTTCAACACGGTTTGTGTTGTTTTGGACAAATTTGAGGCATTTTGGACATCCTCCATCAATCAGTTTTTGTTATTTTGGATCATTTTCAAGTCTGTTGGAAAACATTTGAGCCATTTTATCAGTTTATAAAAAAAATTAGAAGATTTTTATTTTATTTTGCAGAAGTTTTGAGTCAGTTTGAAAAGATTTTCTGTCATTTTTATCAACTTTTAGTCATTTTGGATCATTTTCAAGTCATTTCAAAAATAAAAACTGAGTCATTTTCATAGTTTTTATCATCTGATATGCACCGGTTGATATATATCTTCAGAAATCATGTAAATATGTGCAGCTGCTCTGCTCCAATCATTTCAGGATAAATTAAAAAGAGATGCAAAACCACTACAAAAAAAACACAAAAGGACGTAAACACACGAAGAAAAGAAGTAAAGTCCCCACAAAAACATAAAATAATGAAAACAAAGACACGTAAACACATGAAGAAAAGACGCAAACACACGAAAACAAATGATGCAAACACGATGTGAATAACTAAAATGCCAACAAAAGCGCAAACACAGGAAGACAAGATGCAAAGTCACCACAGAAAGGTTTGCATCTCCACAGAACACACAAACACAAGATAGAAGGACACGACGTGGCCACAAAGACATGAAACAAGTGGAAAAAGATAATAAAACGGGCAAAAGTCCAACAAAAAGAGATAAAAAGACACAAAAACCTGCAAACAGCAGATGAAGACGTGAAATCAGCACAAACAGACTCGATATCAGCGGCTCACATCGCCGTGTTTTAGAGAAATCCTCTGAATGTTCGGCCGCTTTGATCAGTTCAGGATAAATAATCAGCTTCCAGTGATTTAATCTGCTGCTGATAACAGCTGCTGCTGTTGCTTTATGGCTCATCTGAACTAATAAATCTGCAGGTGGGATCAGTCGGCGCTCTGAGGAGCATCTAGAACGTCCACAGAGGATTTATTCACAGCGTCTGTGTGATCCAGGATCCTCTTCTGTCGAGCTGCTGATAAACCCAAAGTAAAGTTCAGCCGCAAGTGAATCCACTTATTTTATGTAAAACTGAACTTTGAGGTGTGTGTGTGTGTGTGTGTGTGTGTGTGTGTGTTAAACAGAGACATGTGTCAGCGGTAAAAGCTGCGACGCCGCGAGCAGCAGAAGGAGGAAGTGAGGCGTGAAAGCGCAGCTGACACCCGCCGACCTTTCCTGAACTTCGGCGAGCGGAGACGCCACCTTCGCCCGGACGCAGCAAAGTTTCTGCTCTTCAGCCGGCGGCGGTGACACCACGCAGCCTGCCGCAGATCCCGCCACGCTGCCACTCAGCACTGCAGCTAGACAAAGACGTCGGCGCCTCGTTTAGGGGGAAATATTCACCGCTTTGACCGCTTTAACCTTTCAGATGTAGAGATATTAAAACCAAGGACCAGAATAGAGATTAAATCTGGTACGTGGAGGTCCAGAAGGGAAGCGTTTCATCTGTTTCCTCACAGTGAAGTACGCACAAACAACAGAAAAGATGAAAAAATACCTCAAAAAGATGCAACATGACAGCTAAAGAACACAAACAGGCCGTAAAAAAGATGAAAAATCTCCAGAAAGGCTAAAAATCAACACAAAAAGACACAAAATCGAAACGAAAGTGTGCGAAAAAACATGAAAATATGCAAAATCAACACAAAAAGATGCGACATCAAAGTA